ATGACAGAGTGAATTAATTTGTTTTGGCCTTCTAGCATTGAAGATGTTAGGGCATTGCACAGTTCGTTTCTATAAATTATGTTTTAATTTTGGGAGTTAAACTCGAGTGACTTCAGCCTTCATTTGTCATTTCTTCCCTGTGGATGTCCTGACTGTAATATAAAGAGTGGAAAACTAGTGAACACCAATGCGTTTCGTTTGAGAGAATAATAAAATTAAAAGCCACGTGAACATTTCAAAGTGAAGTACCGCCCTGTCCACGTTGCATTATGGGATACCTGGAGGATTTCATCAGCGAGGGACGCTAAGTTTGTGTTTCAGTTTCACTAGTTGTCTTATTTCGAAGGATGGGCGTTCGCGGACTAACAAATTTTCTTGACACGTCAGCTCCACACCTTGGGAGACAGATCGAGCTGCAAAAGAAGCTTGTCATAGATGGAAACAACCTGTATTACTACCTCTATGAAAAAGGGGGCCAGTTCGAGTGCCGGCGTGGAGGGGAGTACAAAGAGTTTTACTACAAAGTTGTGTCGTTTTTTGAAGATTTGAAAAAAAAAGGCGTTGAGTCCTTTGTCGTCATAGATGGCGCATTTGACGCAACTAGTAAAAAGTTGGAAACAAAGAAGACAAGAGCTAGAGAAAGCATCAAACTTTCAAAGGAGATTTGGGATGGAAAAGAGGGCTCCTTACCTCGAGCTCCGCTTATGACAAAGTCTGTATTCATACAAGCCCTGAGAGATCGCGACATAAAATTTGCTGTTTCTGACTGGTAAGATGTACTCAGATAAATAAATCAGCATGCATTTCACAGGGCTGATACAAAAATTTGATTGCGTTCAGAAGTTAGCGTTTAGAAATGCTGAAAAGACTGGACAAGTAAAGACGCGAGGGTGTCTTTGTGGTTCGTGTCTTGTTCTTGCTTTCAATTTCAGTCGAATGATGGCTTATATAAGTTGTAGTTTGTCGTCAGATGCTAATGCATACACGCTTCTTCTGGGAGAGGCCAGGATTTCTAGCCGGAGTTTATTATAACAAACTGAAGACGGTTATAGTTTATCAAAGTTGATCAAACTGAAAAGAAAAAGGGTAAAAAATTATTCCTAAACGCGGTTATCCCATGAACACTAACAACGAAAATATGCAGGGCCCTAAACTTAGATGAAGTGAAGCCTGACGATCCAATAAATTGTTTGGCTTTTGAAACCTCAGGATAAAAATCATTTAAATTCAGACAGTTAAAGTTAAAATTGCTATTGCGATGGCTTCTTCCATGCGTAACACATCGAAGTTCATATAGTAAATAGATGAAAGCAAAACCTAACAAATCGAGGAAGCTGCGAGAAAAACTTATGAAACCTTTCTACTGCTTCAGAGTCAAAGTGTTTGAATTAGTGTTGAGTCACAGCTCAGTTTGCAAAGACCACTCGGAGCGGCTAAGAACTGATTTGTTTGGGATCTAATTACACGAGTCGACAATCCATAGATGATTGTGCTCGTCGACACAGCGGCCTGACCGCGTTACCAAAGTTCGCTCCCAAACATCATAAGTCTCACGTAAAAGCAACCTGCAAAATGATACCGAAGATTAGCAGTGCAAGGTTTTTCAAGCGTATGGAGGCCCCTTATACAGGAATCGAATAGCGTCGATTGTAATAAGTCATATTTAGTTTTTGCCTTACCCGCGCGATGCTAGGTTAGTTTGCATATTATGGTATATACCATGTGCTCTAGTTTGTTGTTGGCGTTTCGCTTTTTTTTTTTGACACCTTTCCATCTAGTTTACTAACCAAACTCGTACGAGTCAGATTATGCAGATTGAAACTCATTAGGAAGATTTAACAGAACAAGTCGAACATTTATTCTACAAATAGCATCCCCGAACCATGGCTATAGATCGAAAACTCAAATAGACTCACAATGCAGACTAAATTTGATTTGAATAAATATCGATGCTTTAACCATGTAGCCAGCCCGGAGCAAACTTATTTGATATCAAACATTTGATCGTATATTCACACCCGTGCTAACCTACATGCATGCTTATGTTCGGACCACATATACTAACCGAAGTAAACCTGTTCATTGTTGATACTTTACTCACATTTAAAACCTAGCAAACGAGTTCAATGTTGATACTATTTTACACATATTTACTATTCTAGCAAAGGGGTCCAATAACAATAATTTGGAAGCATTTGTAAACCACTGCAAACTTGTTCAAAGTTACCTGTTTGAATGCATAAGCAAACTTGTGTGCGGTCCAAAGTTTATATTTTTTTGTCATCTCTCAAAAACATTGGAAAAATAATTGCTTAACTGTGCTCAACATTCAGCACGTACAAGTAAATTTAATGCAAATGTGGCATCTAACAGCGTTGCTGCAGGGGGCAAATGTAGTGCAAAGATGGCCTTTGTTGCTAAGCAAAACTGAGCACATTTAGGCAAAAGTAAACTTTCTCTTACATTTGCTACTCAGGCAAATCCCTTTTTTCGTATAAGAACGTTTTGCGCACAGTAAGATGTACTTATAGACTGAGTGGGTTGCAGGTATTGACGCATTTCCGGTATAAAAAGAGGTCATGCGTTATGAGAGGATGATAGCTTTAAGCATGGTTTAGCATTGTTTTTACAGGCAGTCTTTCATACCGGAAGTCGGTATGGCTTTGATTGTGCACTGAGAAGATGGCCCTGGCTTGTTGATTCTAAACACCTTTGTTTGGGTGCCAATCTTAAGTAATTCCACACGAAGTAAAGGCAGTACATTGTTTGTCGACATCTCCATAGTGAAACGAATGGACTATTGTCTGGCGTTGGGGTTTCCAAGAAAGAGTTGACCGAGGATTCGTAGAAATCGGTTGTTTGCGTAGCATTAAAGTATTGTGTATGAAAGGGCTAAGGGGTTCAGATATTCCCTACAAGTAGAACACATAAAGACTTTACACTGACATCCTGGAGATGCTGCAAATTTTTCTTCATTGTTCCTCAACATCGAAAATTTATCATCCCAAGGATTATTAATAATTCCTAACAAACGAATCACGATGATGCATATGCAACATATAGGTAAGGTGCAGGTACCTTAAGCGACAACGAGGGGTTTAGCACCTAGAAAATGGCATTTCAATGAAAGTGGCTCTCATTCATAAGGGAGCGGCGCAAAGCTTCTGTCGTTGGCAGTGTGTTCTGAGAGATGCCATACAACTTAACGTTGTTTTGCGTGAGCCAGTAAAGACACCGCGTATCCACGAGACTTTTAATGGACCACTGGCGCATAAGTTCCTTAAAGAGTTGAAACGAGGTAAGTTACTATATAAGTATTATTCATGTGAATAAGTTCTCTCAGTCTTCTCAAAAAATACTTATCTGAGTATCTTTTTTCAGGAAGCCTGCTGTTTTAGGATGTCTCAAAGAATGACTGGAACACTGAACGCTTATTGCTAACTATGACATGTACTGGCACTACATTGAATATTGACTGTAATTTTCGAGGAAAAAACGGAAAGACGCGTCCAATTTTTTCTTTTTCTCCTACTTATTCAGGCATCATACTGAGGGATCTTATTCCTAGTGAGCAGTTCGAGCGCTTAGAAAAACTTTATCATGCAGCAACCGATGGCTCATTAGAAGAGGCTTCCCACCAAAATGCCGCGTCATCTGCCAACAGTCTGTTCTCGACAAATCCTTTTGCTCCTTTATGCGTAAGCGAGGACGAGGACGAGGACGAGGACGAGGACGAGGACGAGGACGAGGACGAGGACGAGGAAGAGGACGAGGACCAGGACGAGGACGAGGACGAGGACGAGGATGAGGACTAGGACGAGGACGAGGACGAGGACGGGGACTAGAACTAAGCCAAGAACAATGGAAGTTATACTAAAGTTTGAGTCTCTACAAGACCTTTCCAATCTATGTAACGTATAATATGTAAACATTGCGTATTTCTTTTAGGGTTTTATGACAACCCTTGTTTTAAGTGTTTATTGTAACTGAATATTAACTATAGTAGATGTAATATTGTAATAGATAATTAAGGTATATTCCTAATTAGAATTTTCGCATAGAGGGGATATCCGTTTCTTGGCAAATGATACTGAAGCCTGCTTAGTTTTATTTTTCACATCGCAAGTAGTTGTTGGTTTAATTCTAAGATTCATTGAGGAAGATTTTAAAAGTACATGTACCTTACTTATCTTTTCATTCAACAAACTGAACGCATAATTATTTTTTCAATTCATTTATGACTAAAGGGTTCAGTTCTTTGCTGTATTGTTTGCTTTACTTTTAAGTCACCTTATTATAACAAAGGGCGGAAGTTTCTTAAGAACTGTGTTGCTGCGTCGATGGGGGAGTACCACAAGGTAATTTTGGTTTTATCAACTGAGTTAATAATATAGATTAGCCTTCGTAAAGAGTTTCAAAGCTGACGTTTCGAGCGTTAGTCCATTATCAGAGCGAAAGATGATGGGCTAACGTCAGCTTTGAAATTATTTAAGGTCGCCATTTTATATTATCACCTCTGTTAATAAAACCAAAATTATCTTTCTATCATAAGTTAGCTAAGGACAGTAAATTCAGTTCAGTTTCATATGAGGTGAAAAGTTGATGAAAAGTAAGGCTTACTGGAGTTATTGTACTGTTTCCTTTACCGATTGCTGCTTTTTGATTTAAGAGAAAAAAATCTCACTCCCTCACTCCATTACCGGGCGAGGAAGCTGAGAAAAAAAAAAAACAAAAAAAAAAAAAACAAAAAAACAGAGTATCTGTGGTTATTGACTAAGAATGATATCCTGAGCAGCAACGCTCGCATTGTAGTTGAGGTTTTTCTTCCTTGACCTCCTTTTCTGAGCTTGCTTGACCGGCAAGGAAAACTAGGTTCGCGTCTATCTCTTATATTATACTTTCCGATTTAGAATTTACAAGGAAGGTGAATTTCAGTTTCGTATAACTAAAAAAAGATCATGAAAAGGCGAATGGAAATTTAGGCCCTTATTTAGTGTCGTAGTGTTTGTATGTTACCAACCAAGGTTAAGGTGGCTCGTACCAGTTTCCTCGCGCGGGGAACAGGTCACTCTTGCGTGATGCGCGTGAGAGAAACGTGCGAAAGAAGCGCGAGATCAAAAGATGAAAATTCAAAACAAAGATGGCGGCGCGTGGAATTTTTTCTACTTTTGTGAGAAGTTTACCTAAGAGCTTGTATTTGATGTGTTGAGCGGCCACTGTGAATGCAGGAGATAGAAACTAAGATAACGAAGACGATTTTCGGAGAAGTAAAGGTTGCTTCACTTCACATTTAAAAGAAATATTCAACCGATATGAAATCTTGCGACGGCGAAAAAAGAAGAACTCAAGTGAAGGATAATCTACCTGAAGTGGAAGAAGACTTTGAAACTTCAAGGAAAATAATATGATATAGCCAGAAGTCATGTGTAAGATTTTTAAGATGAGCTCGGGAGGCTCTCTTTGACGGCGGTTTAATGATTTTCTTAGAAGTAAACGTCTATAAACATCAGATCGTAGGTGCTCGCGCGAGCACACGCAATTTTCAGAGGAAGCTAAAACAGATCATGAGCAAATGTTGATCTTATAGAATCCAGATTTTTAAATGCGCGAGAACGTGCGTGGAAATTGCTAAACTCACGAAATCTATTGCATGAAAACAAGTCCGGTGACCCCTTCTTTTAATTGTTCCAATATGATAATGACGTCGAAAGGAATCATCAGAAAAAAACTAGTAAATTCTACGGAAGGAAATTTGTGATGTGTGAAAATTGCCCTTTTTGTAGATTTTCTGAAATTCCGCTCCGTAGAATTTTTTAAAAATCTTTGTGCATTTCCCTTTGCAAGTGCCAAAAGCAATCACTGAAAAAAATCAGGGGGTCAGCAGGTTAGTTTTCGAATCATTTAAGCCACAAGCTAAAAAATGCGTCTGAATGAGCCGATGAAAGCGTTACCATGGAAACTGCTAGTGACGAAATGACACTTATTTTTGGATAACCAATGATTATGCAATTCAACCCCGTAAAAGTGTTCAACTGGCCTTGGTCAGTCTTTCTGTTGTATTCTTTCAAAGTTACAAACCATCAAAAAGATGAAAAGTGGTACAAGCCACCTTAAATCAAATGAGATTAAAACAATTCAAGCCCATTCGTAGACTCCACGACCGAGTGAGGAGCTGAGGAAAAAAAAATTAATCAGGTATTTTTAGTCAATGAAAGTTTGAATCTTGGCAACAACACTCTCGTTGTGGTAATGTTTTCTCCTCCATAACCTCCTTCTTATAGTTTGTATCGGCCTGCGAGGCAAACTAGGTTCGTGTCTCCGCGGCTTCGCTTGCTGTCGTCGTTCAAGAGATGGGCGTTCGTGGACTTACATCTTATCTTAAAGAGTCAGCTCCATTCCTTGGAAGACAGATCGAGCTGCGAGACACAAAGCTTATCATAGACGGAGATAACTTGTGTAACTACCTGTATAAAGAAAACGGCTTCGATTGCCGGTGTGGGGGACAATACGAGGAGTTTTACATGAAAGTGCTGTTGTTTTTCGACGCTTTAAAATCTAAAGGTGTAGAATATTTCGTAGTTTTAGATGGTGCATATGATAAAAGCGACAAGAAGTTGGAAACGCAGAAGAAAAGAGCACAAGAAAGGATCGAAACGGCTGACCGGTTGTTCAAGGATGAAACATCGCCTGATGGCGATGAATACTTTCTACTTCCGCTTTTGGCGAAGTTTGTATTCGCACAGGTCCTCAGGAATCACCTCATAAGATTCGCTGTTTCCGACTGGTAAGATGTTATCAAATAAATAATAAGCCTGCACTAATGATATTACACTAACGAAAAATAAGGTCGTGTTCAAATGCTTAGGATATGAAACGAAAGATAGAGAAATACAGTTTTGACCCCATTTCTGTCGGCTTTTCCTTACTTTTAACGCCCAAAGTGATCTATTTCGCACAAAAGGCAGAAGTTCCGGTCAATTTCGAAAATTTTGTTCACGCACATTTTGTGCAAGCAGGTTTTCCGGTTCTGTTTTGTTTTCACTTTCACACGTAACTGAAATTAAGGCAAAATAAATTGCAGATATCGATAGGTACTTGTTCACCGAGCGAGAGAACTGAACTGGGGAAGCCGCGAGGATGTAGAAGTGTTAATCAAGCGTAGCGATTTGGCTAGAAACAGGTAATGTTAATGAAGAAAATAAAAGGCAAGCGTAATTGAAGAGAAGGGATGATAAAGGCAGCCAATTCTGATTAATTAAACATCTTTCGATATTTTGAACAATATTAGGGAACAAATTGATACGACTTTTTACATGTTTAATAATGTCTGGCGTACTCATCTCGTGGAATCAGTTTTCCGCTTGTAATCCATTGAAGTAAGTTCTCTAATGAATTGCTTTTCTCTTTTCTTTTCTACAGTGAAGCAGATCCTGACATCGCCTCTTTAGCCAGGGAATGGAAATGTCCTGTTTTGAGGAAGGACTGCGATTTCTTCATCTTTGATGTTAAGGGTGGCTTCATCCCACTTTCTTCTTTCGATGTCGATCATTTAACACCTCGCATTTTCTACCGCAGTAACTTGGCAAGATATTTTGGAATACGCGAAGAATTGCTCCCTTTGTTCGCTTCCTTACTAGGCAATGATTACGTGAGTTGGGAAGCGCTGAAATCCTTCAACCGCACAATTTGGACTCTTTTCAGTGATGGTCGCAGAGGAAAAGAAGTGAGGTTTTTAGGCGTCGCAAGTTTGCTCTCCCAGTTCTCTGACTCAATCACAGAAACAAAAGCGTTTGAGTTCGCTTTGGAATTGATTGAGCCGGGTGAAAGCAGAGAGCGGCTAAAGCAAGCTGTCGAGTATTCCCTTCAAGAATACACAGTCACGAAATCAAATGTGTTGAATTACTTCCGAGACGAAGCGGTGTGTAGTCTTCTTAGAACCCAAAATAATCTCGAACTTGAAGAAGAGGTATTGCGCATGTTTCGCGAAGGAAAGTTTTCTACCGATTCTATGAGCGGCTTAGCTGTGGGAAAAGTTTTTCTTAGAGCCCAGGTTGAGGACCGTGAGAGCAGATCGTCCAATCAGTGTTCACTGTCATTGAGAAAGCTGGCGTATGAGATTTTAAGCGATGAAGGAAGAAACATGAAGAAGGTCGAAGAATGGGATAGAGAGGGCATTGCAGTTAAGCACACAGATATTAAGCCTTACAATGATGGGGTCCCTTCGTTGAGCTCTATTCCAAGCCTTGATCTTCAAAGGAGATTGACGTTGTCCTTGGATGCGCTTGATTCAGACACAGCTTACATGGAGTCATTACCAAAAGAGCTCCCGTTAGTCGCAACATCACTACGTTTTCTCCTCCGCAACGGGCATCCACCCCTGGAGACAAGCCATCTGTCTGCTATACTTTGCAGTTGTGTCCAATTAGAGGATGACTCGCGGAAACAATATCTAGAAACCAGAAAATATAGATCTCAACCCTTCGATGAGAGAGCAGCGCAAAGCTTCTGTCAATGGCAGTGTGTTTTGAGAGATGTCATTAATCTAAACTTCGTTTTGTCTGAGCCTTTACAGACACCGTGTATTCAAAAGACTTTTAATGGTCGACTGGCACATTGCCTCCAAGATGAACTGAATGAAGGTTAGTATTCGCCAGGTCACGAAACTTCCAACGTTCGATGTCGATTATTTTGTATTCGTTCTTAGTGTTGCGCACCCACGAAGCCAGAGTGGACCCCCTTTTCTTTTTTAAGGGTGTTGTCCTCGACAAGGGCCCCTAAAAGTCAAGGTTCTCCTTAGATCTCATTAACCTCGTTAATCCCTCTGATTCCATTTCATAGGAGCTTTATATCGGCTAAACATGGAGTTTGAGCGACTTAGACACTGCACGGCAGTCAAACCTGTCATATTGCTTGTCTTCATTGCCATACTCAGTTTTGTTCCCAGTGTAACCAGGTCCCTTCTACCATCGAGTGTTGTAAAACGTAATGAACAGCGATAAGGACGATAACACAGAGCTAATTGTAGAAGTGCAACCAGGAGAATACATGTTTTGTTTCCCCCTGGTGCAAGGGAAAATCGTGGTACAATACACAGCAATGATGATTTATTGTTCCACCTCAGTTCTCCAACGTTTGTATTAGAGTAAAGTTTAAAAATTACGCGGCTCAGAAAGTTGCGCATGCGCAACGGAAAACTTTGTTATGTTTCCTCGCTTCCCTCATCGAATAAAAGCAGAAACAATTGATGAGAATCATTCTTGTTTTCTTTCTTTCCACCAGGTCGTAGGCCAGAAACCTTACTATGTTCTCCAAGCATTTTTCTGCGATATAAGGAGCTTTACACTGCGATTACAGACCGGGAAGGTAAAGGCACACTGAAAATAGTATTTCTGTTATTTTTGAAGTATGAATTTTAATGGACACACGCAATCCAAGAAACAACCTCTTCTGTTAGAGGCATGTAGGTCAGACCCTTCTGTTTGGTTCGTGGTAACCTCATTGGTGAGGGAAACTCTCTCCCCTTCACAGGAGCATGAATCTAGTTTGCAAAAATATCATTGAAACAACAGCTGAGATGCAATGAAATATATGAAGTTCATATATTTTGTACTGCGGTATTAGATACATATGATGCACGATCCTCGCAGTAGATAGCACTATTTAAGCAATAGCGAAAATCAGACCTGAAAAAAATCAGGCCTGTACGGGATTCGAACCACTGACCTCTGCGATATTAGTGCAGCGCTCTACCAATTGAGCTAACAAGCCAACTGGGAGCAGGCCGTTAAGTTGATTCGTAATATACCCGTGATTTTCGCTATTGCTTAAATAGCGCTATCTACTGCGAGGATCGTGCATCATATGTGAAACAACAGCAACAACTTTTATACAAAGGGATTACCAGCCCAGTGTGAGTTTATGAATAGTTCTGTTCTCAGGCGATGTTACCGCCAGAATGCAAAGTTTATTTTTGCACTGACCAAAAATGAACTACTGTAGAAACCCCGCAATATGAAAAATGTCTTAGACGCGACCTCCCGGCCACCAGGAGAGGTATCACCATCTAAGATGGCAGCGCCGAAGACACCTCCAGCCCTTTTGATCTCGAGCACAGTGACAGTGGCGTCTTAAGATCTACTGGTTGATTGACAAAGGGAAACCATCCCAACATAACAGGTGCGCTTCCACAATCACAGAGGGAAGTTCTTCGATGTTCCTGGTCCGCCTCTCCCTCAATAAACGAAAGCAAGGAATTTGCATCTTCAATCTGTTTTGTTTTCCTCTTGAAAAGAAAAAGAAACTGGGCGTCTGCGGACAGCGCCAGATACTAAAGTGCAACAACTTTCTGACTTTTGTGGGATCTTAGTTTGAAATGTTTGACAACCCAATACCATTAAAAAGTTTGTTTTCTTTTTTCTTTTCTCTTTCAGTCATAAAATGTGTATACACAGTTTTTGAGTAATTTAGCATAATAATCATGATTTCATCTGTCATTTAAGGTTAGAGTGAACGAAATAGAAGTGAGGACTTAAAATTCCGCTTTGATCCACTGAAGCGCCCGTGTTTTAGATTTACCTTTAAATAATTTACAATTTTGGAAAAATATCAGTATGCTTTTAAATAAATTATATTTTGAATGGTTCCCGCATTAGTGTTGTCAATTTTATCTTTGATGGCCTGGCCAATCATGAAATGATTTTCTCTTCTCTCCCCCTGCACGAACACCGCTGAAGTTCCTTGATGAACTTAAAGCTCCAGGATTCGACAGTACCTTTCCTATGATCTCGAGAACACCTGATCATACCATGTTCACTCTAACATGACACAATAGATATTTGCAGGACTTAGTTTCCTCTCTTCTCACGATTACAGTGTAGAATGATGTCTATAATTCGCGAATATGGTCTCTCAGTAGCGGAAAAGGACATCATGTAAGTCATGCTAAATTACTGTTGTATTCAATAAGGTTTTTTTATAATTCATTATTATCCTGTTATGATACTTTGAATATCTCAATCGGACTTTTCTCTAAAAATTACCTTCTGTTGGGGATAGCACAAAACTTCGAGCGTTATCCGTAATATTCCTTTAATTTTCGACCATCACAATTGATAGTATGAACATGTCACGAAAAATCGGTTACAAGACGGTGAAAGATTTTGTGCAAACCAAACGATTAAAAGAAGAGTTTACAGCCGCAAGAGCTCGTCGATAAGAACACGCGTGAGAAGCTACAGTCCAAAAAACATGTGACCAAACTCTACCTCGTGTATATGTACCGAAACGTAACGCAACAAAAAAAAAAACACAAGAACAAAGGAAAACGTCACGGACTAAGTTTAACTAAACACCTTCTCTTCACACGATTTCCTGACAAACTGCGAAACTCGAGTCTCGTGAATTATGTCCTTCTTATTTGCATGAACCTAAGTGCCCCAAGCAAAATGATAATTAAGAAAAAAAAACAAACAAACAAACAAACAAAGAAAAACTGGTTATGACGAATCTGGGTTTATTGTTTATAAACCTGTCAAAACTTTCCGACGCCACGCTCAACCTCGTTTTCAGGCACTTGGAAGTAAGGCCATTATTTGTTAAAGAGGTTTCGTAAGTCTAAGCTTCTCATCAAGGTAATGGGCGTTCACGGACTCTTAAGTTTCGTCGAAAAAATCGAACAGCTTTGGGAAACGATCGAACTACGGCGAGACACAAAGCTGGTCATAGATGGATCAGCTTTATACAAGTCTCTATACGCAGATAGTTGCCTCGATCGACGCTGCGGAGGGCAATATAAGGAATTCTATGACATAATAATCAATTTCTTTAACGCTCTAAAATCTGTGGGAGTAGAGTCATTCGTAGTCCTGGATGGCGCAACCAATGACAACAAATTAGAAACCCACAAAAAGAGGTCAGAAGAGAGAATAAAGAAAGCTTATTTTCTCGCAAAAAAACCAGCAGAAGAAATTAAGGATGTCTTCGTGTGCCCGCTTTTGTTGAATTTTGTGTTTGTGCAAGCGCTCAGGGATCTTGACGTGAAATTTGCTGTCTCTGACCGGTAAGTTGAAAATAAGTAGGATAAAGGTAACATATAATCAGAGTTATCACAGTTTGCACACATTAATTTTGAAGACACGTCATGAACAGATGTTATACAAGGCAACCATGAAAGTTGTTTATATAACTCGCTGAGGTTTATCTCATGGAAAAACTTAAGAAAAAACAGCCTAATTCAAGGAAGTTATAATCACGAAAAGGAGAAAGTCAGATTTTATTCTGCCGCTGATCTTGGCTGCATAGATCAGCAGGACGACGTTTGAAGATACTCTATACCCTAAAAGATCGAAATAGAAATTTCGTTCATGCTATTTGAATTTGTAATTTGAGTCAAAACAATTTTTCTTTCATATTTGCTTTGGTCCTCACTTAGAGACAATAGCGCTAAAAAAGAGTCGGAGAAAAAGAGGGCAGCAAGCTGTCCATATCCCTAAGTAAGTAAGTAAGTAAGTAAGTAAGTAATTTTATTTAACCACATATCGCATATGAGCTATAGCTCGTTTAAATGCAAATGTGGAAACCCACCCATCCCACCCCAGGGGAGGACATCCATCACACAGTAATCTCGTGCGTGGGAAATTAACGTCTCCTGCCCCTAACCCTGCAGGAGACGGGACCTCCATTTATTCGTCCCTATCCGAGAAGACTAGAATATCTAACCATTTCTAGATGTTAAAGAAAGGAAGCATATTCTTCTCAGTTAATTTTAAGACCCTGAGTGTTGGTCCGGCCGGTATTGAACTCTCGACCTCCCGCACAGCAGTCCGGCGCTCTCCCAATTGAGCTAACCAGGCGGCGGTTAATTCGAAGAAGGTATTCATTTTTGCTTCTGAACGGTCATTCGTAAGTGTGTGCGATGTGGAAAGGAGGCGACGCTATTTCTTCACAAAAAGCTGACGATAATTTGCATATTACAATGACCAAGTGGTTCAATGAATAATTTCGCAGGTGACGGGGCCGATATTTTAAAGTAATTCGAAGAAGGTAATCATTTTTGCTTCTGAACGGTCATTCGTAAGTGTGTGCGATGTGGAAAGGAGGCGACGCTATTTCTTCACAAAAAGCTGACGATAATTTGCATATTACAATGACCAAGTGGTTCAATGAATAATTTCGCAGGTGACGGGGCCGATATTTTAAAGTAATTCGAAGAAGGTAATCATTTTTGCTTCTGAACGGTCATTCGTAAGTGTGTGCGATGTGGAAAGGAGGCGACGCTATTTCTTCNGATCAATCAATCAATCAATCAATCAATCAATCAATCAATCCTTTATTTAAACACGTGACACCTAGGAGTACAGAAGTTCTCGTTAAAACGTGTACGTGTATGTACAATTAGAAATAAAACATAATTTCTGTAAGAATACAAATAATAAGTAGATCTATTAAATAACTAAAAACAGGATCGAAGATCATGGACAAGAGCTATCAATAAAAAGTTACAATATTAACAATATTAACAATAACGATATTTACAATCACTACCACTAAGCCATGTGGGCTTTAAGAGAATGCTTGAATGAAACAATATCTTGAGATTCTCTGAGTCTAGGGGGTAGCGCATTCCAAAGTTTACTAGCTAAAAATGAAAAAGACCGATGTAAAAACTCAAGATTAAAAGATTAAAAGTAAGGGTAAGGAGGTTTCGCCTCCGTGATTGCAAATTCGCACCCTACCAGTTCGCCTGAATTACGAGTTCACTCCTGTACGTTAAGAAATGGTTAACGTGCGCTGTGCAGACGTCGAGTTATAGATGCCCGCGGGAGGTTACTAAGGCTAGAGTCGCAACAACAGTGAGACTTTCAAACATCTTTTGTTTCGTGTAGATAAAAAAAAACCAAAACAAACGGACGTCAGCATGCTACCCACGGGCAAATGGATCAAACATGTTAGTGAATCAGAGTGCGCAGTTTTTTTAAGCTATGTTATAAAACTGGTAAAATCCGGGCGTACATATTATATTTGATGACCCTCGTGCCCTTGGTCGTTTTGTTGATTACCTGTAATCCTTTTAATCTTTGCTTTTCGTTCTTTATTTCTTTAAATCCCGTTTGACTAATGTGGGAATGGCCACTGCACCAATAAGATAACACATGGTAAGCGTTTCTAGTGTAACATATACACGTGTCCTCCTCTCCATAATGTTTGCTGTCTTATTCACATTGTGTTCAGTTTGAAGGGGTAATAATAATCACGTATTTACCTCTTCAAAGAACTGTGGTGAGACCTGACTCCAACATGTGGTGGCTTGTGAAGTTTCCTGAGGAAATGCCCGTAATCCCAGTCTAGGGATGTTTTTTCATGAACGTTGTTATTTGCCAGAGCATAGTATAAAAGTTTCATGTATGTTCTCGGTTTCCTGATGAAATGCGATGGAGCTTAAAACAGGTTAAATTCAATATTTTGCTTCTCTCACCAGGTAGCCGGCAAGAATCCTTGATTCAAACTCAAGAAAGTATTTCTCGGTATCAGGAGCTTTATACAGCGATTACGGACGAAGGAGGTAAGAGGAAGGATTGTCCTTATAGTTTAATGTAAACTTTTCTTGATGCTGCGTTTAAGTTGACATTTAAGGCCGATATCAAGAAAAGGTATCAGTATTGTTTTCTCGTCCTGTTCTTAAAGTTCTTGAAGGATGATTTCAGTTTACTTTCACAGACTCCATTTCATAGTCAAAGACAAAACATAAACCGTTCCCTTGCAGAAGAAGTTGCTGCCGGGATGCAGAGGTTACAAGTACAGGCATCAGGAAACTAAGGGTATCAGTGGCAAAAAGGGGAAGCCTGACAGCACCGTCACCCTCCCCGAGCTCGTGAAAAGCATCGGCAGTTTCTTACGTATGGATTAAATTTTACTTGAAAGATTATGCTTAGTTTTAATTGAGTAGTTCCACTTTAAGTGACCAGTAAATACAGGTGGAGGACAAAACAAAACAAGGCGTTGGGACCATCTCAAAGTTGACCGCAACTGCTTTGTAGAAGTGAAAATTACAGTGATTAATTAAGGGGATACAAATTCGGGACTTTGACAATCGACCGCTTAATAAAGGGTGATCGCCTAATACGGTACCGCTAAATACAGGTTCGATTACATTTTTTGAATTACTGTATAACTTTGTTTTGCCACAAACTATTGCTCCGCTCTGAGTAAAATGTCCACGTACCTCTGTGCAAAACAAACTCGATGATGGTATGATAGACAATTATTAACCTCGGTTATTATAAATAGTGTAGTTTGCCCTTTCTCACGCATCAATTTTGGATAAACTCGACATTACGAGCCTAAAATTGAATAAATTTGTCAATGTTAGCAGTTCAAGTTGACCACTTAATTATTACTAATAAATGCAGACTTAACCAGTTCCAAGGCTGTCTTGCAAATTAGACGTCCAACATCATCGAGACTTCCCGGTGGCGGAGCCCGCATAAAGCCCCGTTGTGGCACAGCGCACATGGCAATAAGTATGTTGTTTGTTGTTACATAAAATGTCTCTCCGACTGACTGTATTTCTTCCCTCCCTTGAGCTCGTTAGCCCCCCACCCCCCAACTCCCTCTCAAATTTAGCAGTTTTCATTCAGACACCCACACTTTTCAGATACATATACGTTTATTTCACGGATAGAGTTAAAAATTATCTTTATACATGAGGGGACGCAAATCGTCTGCACTGGAAGTACACATCAAACTCCCCAGGCGTTCTAATCCCATTAAATATGTGGTTTTTATGTCAGCGTTTGCATGGTTAATATCGTTAGCGCCCCTTTCGGTTGGATCTGGACAGTGTCTGTTTTTGGATCTGGACAATGTTCTTTTTTTTTTTCCCAGATTGCTTTGTAGTGCATGTAGTTTTCTTAGTTATTTTCGCCAAAAATGG